GAGAGCAGATAAGAAGGAACAAAGTTAGAAGTCGCTTTGTAAGCAAACATCAGAGCTTTGAATTTGATGCAAGCAGCAACTGGCAGCCAGTACAAACAGATGAGTAGCGGAGTGACATGTGCTTTTTTAGGTCCATTAAAGACAACTTGTGCTGCTGCATTCTGAAGCATCTGAAGAGGTTTGATAGAGTTAGCTGGAAGCCCGGCTAGTAGAGAGTTGCGATAGTCCAGTCTGGAGAGAACAAAAGCTTGAACAAGGAGTTGAGCTGCATGTTCAGATAGGAAGGGTCGGACCTTTCTCATGTTATAGAGTGTGAATCTGCAAGATCCAACAGTTCTAGAAATGTGGTCAGAGAAGTTTAGTTGGTTATCAATCATTACTCCACGGCTTTTCACCGTTTTGGATGCAGTAATGGTTGCCCCATCCATCTGGATTGAAAAGTTATGATGTAGAGTCGGGTTGGCAGAAACTTCAAGCATTTCCGTTTTTGTGAGGTTAAGCTGAAGATGATGATCTTTCATCCAGTGTGAAATGTCTGAAAGACAGGCTGAGATGCAAGCTGAAACCGAGGGATCATCAGGGTGAAAAGAGAGGTATAGCTGGGTATCATCAGCATAGCAGTGGTAGGAAAATCCATGTTTCTGGATGGCTGATCCTAAAGATGTTGTGTAGAATGGAGAAGAGAAGTGGCCCAAGAAAAGAGCCCTGTGGTACCCCAGTGTTTAGATGCTGTAGGTCGGACACCTCTCCCCTCCAAGACACCCTGAATGACCTGTCAAAGAGGTAAGATCTGAACCACTGAATAACAGTGCCTGCAAAGCCCAGTGACTCAAGCGTAGATGGCAGGATCTGGTGGTTTACAGTTTCAAAAGCAGCTGACAAATCCAGCAAGATGAGGACTGATGATTTAGAGTCTGCTTTAGCCAGTCTGAGATCCTCCACGACCGAGAGCAGGGCAGTCTCAGTTGCTTGTTGTCCATGAAGTTGTTTTGAGTAAGAAAGTCCAGGACTTGATTGAACACAACTTTCTCCAGAATCTTGGCCATGAATGAATAACGGGATAACAGTCTGTAGTTTTCAAGTAGCGTTTGATCCAGGTTGGGTTTCTTTAGCAGTGGGGTTACCCTAGCCCAGTCAAGAGATGTGTTAATTATGTGAGTCAGTGTTGGTATGACTGCAGGAGAAATGGCTTGCAAGAGATGAGAGGGAATGGGATCAAGCGGACAGGTAGTTACATGGCTAGAGAGCTGAGAAAAAGAGGTGAGTGTGTGTGGTGTTGGTGGTGTATCTTGCATGTTTGTTGTAGGTGCAACAAATTGAGTACTGCTTTTTGCAGTTTTGGTGCAAAAGAATGTAGCAAAGTCATCAGTAAGTGTGGAGGATGAGGGTGGAGGAGAAGGATAAAGGAGGAAGGAAAATGTTTTAAAGAGTAAGCGAGGATTGGTGATGTGTGTAGTGGAGTAACTAGTGTTTGATCAGCGAAGCAATGTCGAGTGTAAATAAGGTCTAGCTGATTACCTGATTTGTGAGTAGCAGAAGTAGGTGCTCTTTTGAGGTCAAAAGAGACAAGCAGAGTCTGGAAGTCAGTAGCTTGAGGTCTTTCAATGTGGATTCACCTGTGAAGTCACCTAGCACCAACAAGGGAGTTTCATAATCAGAAAAAGATGAGAGAAGAACATTCAGTTCATCTAATAAGTGACCTAATGTACCTGGTGGGCTGTAGATGACAACCACATTTACGTAGAAGTGGTGGATAATGGTGGCTGCATGGAATTCAAAGGAGCTGATCTTTGCCAGGGATGGTCTCTGAGTAAATTTCCATTCTTTGGAAATCAGTAGTCCTGTCCCACCCCCTCTCCCTGTTTGACGAGGAGTGTGGGAAAAAGAGAAATTAGCAGAAAAAGCTGCATGTGTAGCAGTGTCCTGTCTCAACCAGGTCTCAGTTAGAGCCATGAGATTATAGTCAGAATGTGTAGCTATTAAGGTAATAAAATCTGCCTTGTTAACAGCAGATTGACAATTCCAGAGGCCCACGGAGAGAGAGAGTTGTGAAATAGCAGATACATGTATTGAACGAAGGTTGTGAGGATTACGCCTGCAGCGTACCTCCCGTGATTTTCGAGTGTTAGTAACAACAGGAATTAGTAAACATAATAAAAGTGCAATGAAAACAATAATAAGTGCAAAGATAAAGTAAAATAAATAAGTAAAGTACTCAAGTGCTTTGTTGGTGTCTTTGCTCGGTGGAGTCGCGGAGGTAGAGTCGATAGTCTTTACACTCGTCAGTCGCGCAGGTAGAGTGGATGGTCTTTACACTCGTCAGTTGCGCAGGTATAGTCGATGGTCTTTACACTCGTCTGTCTTCACACAAGGCGGCCTTCACACGAGGCTGCCGTGACCGATGCTGCGGTGAGACTAGCTGCTTATATACACCTCTGAGCGCTTGCTGATTGAATTCAGCTGGACATGCCTCGAGAGTACCCACAATAAAACAACAGAAACTGAGGTGGGGGTCCGCGATACACACACAAGTTCTTACAGTAACCATTTCTTTGGTTACTGTAAGACCTTGTGTGTGTATCGTGGACGGTTTCGCGCCCCCACAGTGAGTAAACTTTTTAGCACCACAAACAAACAACTGAAAACAAGTCTAAATGTCCTAGAACCATACACAAACAACTGAAAAGAAGTCTAAATGTACTTACACGCTGCTGGTTTCAATGCTAAAGTACTTCTCCTACTAACTAAACCTAGTGCACTGAATATATACCCTTTACCTGGTGCTTGGACTTGCTCGAGAGTACCCTCAATAGAACAACAGAAACTGAGGCGGGGGGCGCAAAATCGTCCGCGATACACACACAAGCTCTTACAGTAACCAAGGAAACAGTGAGTAAACTTTCTAGCACCACACACAAACAACTGAAAAGAAGTCTACAGTGATTGTCCAAGAACCACACACAAACAACTGAAAACAAGTCTAAATGTCCTAGAACCATACACAAACAACTGAAAACAAGTCTAAATGTACTTACATGCTGCTGGTCTCGTTGCTAAAGTGCTTCTCCGGACTTTTGTAATGAGTAAGTTATTTAAGAGACTATATTTTAGCATTTTTAGGCAATTAAAGTGTCAGATAAACAAAAATAAAAGATTCTTAAAATTTGACATCTGGTTTAAAAGGACTACTAAATAAAGATTATCACATTTTTGGGCTTGATTAGGCTGCATTAATGTACAAAAATTATGTATAAATTACATATTTTGCAAGAGTGTAATTAATCAGGATTAAGTAAACAATTCCTTGCAGTTCAACCACTCATAAAAAACAATTCAGCAGTCCCACCAGGGACAGCACCTTGCAACGTTGCACACAAGAAGATATACCGTACCTCAAGCAGCCTTTTTAAGTCAAGACCAAGAAGATCGTTGGTTCGAGCCTCGGTTGGGTCAGTTGGCATTTCATTGTGTGGAGTTTGCATGTTCTGCATATTATTATTATTAATATTATTATTATTATTATTCATTCATTTTCTTTTTGGCTTAGTCCCTTTATTAATCCGGGGTTGCCACAGCGGAATGAACCGCCAACTTATCCAGCACATGTTTTACGCAGCAAATGCTTTGATTCCCATCTCTGGGAAACATCCATACACACTCACTCACACTTATACACTACAGACAATTAAGCCTACCCCAATTCACCTGTACCGCATGTCTTTGGGCTGTGGGGGAAACCGTGGAGGATACCCACGCGAACGCAGGGAGAACATGCAAACTCCGCACAGAAACGCTTTATTATTATTACCTACTGCTTATTATTATTATTATTATTATTATTATTATTATTATTGGTGGTTCATTCCTCTGTGGTGACCCTGGATAAATAAAGGGACTAAGCCGAAAAGAAAATGAATGACTGAATGAAATATTATTATTAATATTATTATTATTGTTATAAGAAGAATCTTAGTATGAGTCATGTTTTGCCATTAGAGTTAGCAGTGCAAAATGCAAGGGTCTTATTGCCCATAGTAAATGTGCACCTCAATCTGTATGATATGTGGGCTTCAAACAACAGATTGCAATAAAATTAGCCAAAGCACTTCACTGACAACAAGGACTTAACAGATCATCCATCTAGTTAGGGATTATTCCACTTTTTTCAGAATTGAAATGAGGTCCGATAAGTAAAACTACAGCTTTTCTTGTATTTAGAAGCAAGATGTTACCAGATATTTAATTTTATTATTTTGAATAACAATATATTCTGTAAACTGTAATGTTTCATTGGGCCAAGGGGAAGTGTACAGTTTGATATGACCAGTGTTGCAGTGAAAACTAACTCTAACTTTGTTAATGATATATCCAGTATGCACAATTTAAATATACTGTAGAACCCTACGGTCACTTTTATCAAATGAAATGAGTGTAGTTATCTCAAAATTTACTGAAAGTTAATTCTACTCATTTGAAAAGAGTTTTGAACTCAATGTTGAAGGTAATGAGTTAATTAAATACCTCATTACTTCAACTTAAATTAAGTTCACAGTACTCATTTAGATTTTATTTTTTTATAACTCAAATGATTCGTTGTGATCGGTGTCCTCAAACGGTTTGAGTTGAACTTATTGAGTTTTACAGTATTGGTTTGAGTTCTCTTCATTTATTGAGTTTTACTGTGCTCAAATTGCTTCATTTGCTCAAATGAATTAAGTTTACAGTACTCATTATTAGCTTTTGAACTTAAATGGTTTGTTGCAACCGATTTCCTCAAATTGTTTGAGTTACCTTAACTTCATGGGTTTTACAGTGTAGCACCAGTCGGAGCACTAAGCCTTGTGTGACATTTCAGTGCTGAAAAACTGTTTAAATTCTCTAATTATTGAGATTTAAAGTCTAAAATTCCTCGTATAGCCTATATCATTTCCACGAATGAGCAGATTAGGCTTCCACATTCTCTAGTATTGATGAAAAAGATAAACGTGCCATCTCTTACGTTATACTAAAATAAAATCTGCACAGTGATCTGTAATGTAATGCGTTTCAAAAACAATTACATCTACTAATATGTATTGACGCATGTTAAAGGGGCGTGCACTTATCGAAATTTCTGCAATATCCCAAATCGTGTACGCGCATTCATCGGCAGCTCTGAACATCACCATAAGCGCGTGCGCGCAGAGAAGAAATAGCCTAACGGGACGTCGGAGACGCTTGCAACGAAAGACAAAAGCCACAAACCGCAAAACGAAGTGCCCTCCTGAATGAAATTCAGATGTTTATGGCGACGGACACATGCAGGTTATCATTACGACTACGTGCGACGCGTCTCGCCGATGTTCCAGATTTCGTTAAACCTGCTCTCGCTCGCCTGCGGAAGATCCATCATTGACATCTTGACAGCTTCGCCGCCGATGAGAGGAACACCGGATATACTATTTATGCCCAAACACACCGAGCAGCAATAATGCGTATTCTCGATTTTATCAGACACATTTATTTTGCCATGTAATCTCAGTTTCTGCACGGAGAACGGAGGAGGAAAGGAACAGAGCGTGATTTCTTGTTTCACCGAATGCATTATCATAACGTTTCCATCAATTATTTATTTGTTTCATGTTGATCAATTCTGATGTGACGAAAAGACTGATCGGTTCTGGTAGATAGCATCAAGGACGGACACCTCTCTCACATCTTCATTAGCCCACTTCAAATTAGACAGATCTTTATTCATCTCCATTTGAGGACTCGCGGCAGAGGCGCATTTCTGAGGGTGCCGGTGGGGTAGATAGGGGGAGATAGAGACGCCGGAAATAGCAGAAACAAATCACGGGAGGGTAGACGGTTGGGTGCAAGCGAGGAAAATGCTACCTTCACAAGAAGCCTCAAAGATTTACCATGACAACTATATGCGTAACTCTCGAGCCATTGGTGTCTTGTGGGCCATCTTCACCATCTGCTTCGCCACCATCAACGTGGTGGTCTTCATCCAGCCTTATTGGATCGGGGACAGCGTGAGTACACCACATGCCGGTTACTTCGGGCTGTTCCATTACTGTGTGGGCGACGGCAACTCGAACCGGGAGCTGATTTGCCAGGGAACATTTTCGGACTTCAGCTCCATCCCGTCCGGCGCGTTTAAGGCGGCCTCATTCTTCGTGCTGCTGTCCATGGTGCTCATTTTGAGCTGCATCGCCTGTATGGCGCTCTTCTTTTTCTGCAACACCGCCACCGTCTACAAAACCTGCGCTTGGATGCAGCTGCTTTGTGGTGAGTATATATATTAGATGTGGAATGATTACGCTTTTGTTTGCCATACTCCAGATTGATCTCTTACCCACCAAACCCTGGTAAACGGTGGATACAAGGACTGATGCTTGTTTACTTGTATGGATCTCGTTGTTGGTGCGTGTGTTTTCAAGGGGTTCAGTGAAGCTGTCAGTGATCATGCCTTTATTTGGCCTTGCGACTTGAAGTGTTATTGTAGATATTTATATAAGAAATTCGTTTATTTGAATGTACACACAGACACATGCAATATACACTGTTTTCTAAGTGCAGATTTTAAAAATGCATTTCTATTGCCTGTTTTTTTTTAACATAAAAACTGAATATGAATGGCTAAAAAATCTAAATATGTTTATTTAAATCTCTTTTTTTATATTTGCAGAATTCTATTTAATGCTTTCAATTGGAATTTCCATAGGACAGTTCCCTGTTTTTCACCATTACTATTATTACTATTCCCTGGAATTGGGAAATTTGTCTTCCTGAAAAAACATAAATGCTTGCCTGTGCAAAAAAAGACTGATTGTAGGTGGTTGCCTGGTTTTGCTGTGTGGTAGCTAAGGTGTAATGATGAAAAGACCCATTTCATGTGATGTTTAGAGGAAGAAAACACAATAAACTAGGTGAACCCGTCATCTTCTGGAAAGCACAAATAAAATATATAGGCTATCCATGCCAAATATTAGGCCATTTAATGACTCAATACTTGTCAAGTATTTATTAGTACATTTATTGTTACTGATTGTGATTTACATATTTGGTTAAAGTGTCATTTTCAATTATTCAATAATTTAATAATTTATTTAATAATGAATTAATAATATAAATTAATTGATTATTAATAATTATTAAAACTTGCTGAACATTTTGAGAAGAAATTATAGTTTTAGCATAAATAATTGAAGCATTAATTACATAAGTAATGCTGCATATCAGGTTAACAGAAAGGGTTTTGAGTTGGCTGTTTGGTTTATTGTAAACATTGTTCTTTGTATGTATATATATATATATATATATATATATATATATATATATATATATATATATATATATATATATATATATATATATATATATATATCTAGATATATATATAATAAAGTAATATGGAAAAAATATTTATAATATAGTATAATAAAGTATAAATACAAATATATTACATCATATATCAAAAAAGTTGCCTGTTGTCATTTATCAAACAAATAACAAACTGGCCAGGACATTCAGCTTTCCTCTATCAGAATTTGTCAGTTTGAATAAAAACAATTAAAACATAATAATAATAATAATAATAATAATAATAATAGAGCGTCATGATTTTATTTTGGCCTCTTCAGATAATTCATGGATAACAACAACAGCCTAATTAGTATCGAAATTAACTTCATATGGGGTGTTTTTGGTGCTTTAGACCTTTTCAATGGTCAATTTTTATTTAAAGAATAAGGTTTAAGATTTAGTATAAAAATTACTTGTAAAATGTTTTTGTCTATTTAACAACAGTAAGTCAACAGCAAAAGTTGACTTCCCCTGTCAAATTCTGCATGGTCTTAAAACCTTTGATGGGTTATTTCCACAATTTATGATGGAATAGCAGTAAAAACAGGACAAATGAGAAAATAGTGGCAAAATTCTGCACCAATGGCAAATTCTGGACCTTTGTCAGTGGGGCGTAGGTCTTTCGAACCACCCGAATTCCCCCCAATCACCCCCACCCCCCACCCCTGGCTACGGGCCTGAAGAGTCTGCTTCTATCCATGTTTTGTCTCCTTGTATTTTGTTCTTTTGAAGATCATAGTGCAATGCTGATTTGCATGGTGGATTTGACAGCTAATTTGTAACAACAAATACAGCTGTGCAGCCATATGCACATTTACACAGAGTTAAAAACACACAACAACTAAATCATTTCCCTAATTCCCACATTTAGGCTATAACCTTGTGCAGGGTTATGTACAATGTGTTTTCTGTTTGTCGTCATTTTTCTAGTGAGCCTAACAGTAGAAAACAGGCCTACATGGAGCTATAGTTTCTTGAGCTTACGGTACAGTGAAAACTTTGACCCCAGTTTCTGAACAAATCATAAGCATTGGGAATTGTGGTAGGGTGAGTTTGTTGGTTAAACAGGCACAGATATTTGGTTGATAGTTATCCAGAAAAACTCTCTAGAACCACATCTAAAGATTTGTCAAGAGTATTATGCTTGGCTCTACACAGAGCTAAAATGGGATTAAAACGTTGCTCAGAAAAAAAGATTCCCTTACATTGGCTAAGTAGCAATTTCACAGTCCTCAAGAATTGTGAAATAATATTGGCAAATAAATGGGGATTACCACTTTTTGTTTAACATTGATTGCCCCTGTTGCTGTATGTTTGATTTTGTTGTGGTTGATACTTAAATATAAACCTTGCCACTATTGAATGATCTTTCTGCTAAATCTGCATTGCGTTCTCCAAATTTTCCAAATTCTTAAAGTCAACATGAAGCAGAAGCTGCGATCGTTTTTATTTTTCCGTATTGTGACATTTATTAAGTATTTCATTCAATAAGATTGGAAAATGGGTTTTAAAAGAGTTATTACAACCTAATGGTTGGAAGGGCGTGGCTAAGTCAACACAAACACATCCTGAAAACATAGCCCTACAAACATTTCTGGAGATTTCGAATTATGTAGCCAGGAGTACGTATGATGCCATTCATTTTCATGCTTACCAGCTGACCGCTTACCTCCATATGGACAGCTTTCCCGGTGTTACCAGATTGTCCAGTTAGCTCACCATGTATGTCGGCAGAGAGGAGTTGACCACAACGACAGTATATCTGAGTCTGGCAAATAACGGTTCCACTGGGTAAGACAAAAATAGAAGCCAAGAGATAAAAATAAACAAGTAAATAACAGGGTGAGACTGTGGTAAAATCTGAAAACGTGGTAAAAATCAGGCAAGGGCTGTTTTTTTTTTGGATTGTTTTTTAAAACTGTCAGTTGGGTTTAGGAAAGTGGGTGAGTGGGTGGGTCAATCAGTGTTTTAAAAAACACTATTGCTTGGGTTTAGGGAAGGAGGAAGGAGGGTCAGTTGATTGGTCAGTCAGTCAGAGCGGCCTCTGGTAGATTTATGCAAGAACAGCAGACACGAATGGCACTCACGAGAGAAATTTGAGATCTCAAAAAGTTTGCACAGCGGCCTCTGGTGGATTCGAGAAAACAAAAACTGCAAAAAAACGTATGTATTTGGTGCAATGTATATAACGATACACTTTCAGAATGAAGCTTGTGTTAGGTGGAGTATGTTAACTACGCCCAATACCTCAAAATGTAATCTGAGAATTTAACTGAAAAAACACAGGAAGGCATTTTCACATTTTAATTTTAGACCACAAGGGTAAACATTTTGTTTTCTTAATGACATGAGAGATGAATTGTTCACCACAAAACTGCAATGTGAGCTAACAAAATGTTTAGTTTGGATTTAATATGTACTTTCCCTCATCTGTGATAAATTAAAGCAAGAGCAGAGTTATGTCAGTTTACAGCTGCATCCAAGCGTCTGTTTTGTACATTCAAAGGTTTTGGCTAAAAATCTTATTACATTTAAGTTCAGGAAATCAAAAACACTGTGAATGCAACTATAATCATAGATCTTAAAGTATACTATTTTATAACAAATTATTATAAATACACTGAGCCTTTTTTGAATAGCATTAAACTACTATTTACACTTAGTGCATAGATCATTTAATGATTGCATAGTTTAAAAAGCATCTCTACCTTAAAATAAAGCAGAAAATCATAACAAATACAAGGTGCCATATACTGCCTTGATTAAGATCAATTGTTCTCTGATATCTACATTGTAGGTATGTGGGTTAGGTAAGTTCAAAAATTCTCCAAAAATGGTTTTATATGCTCATTTATTATCCAATAAATACCCCTAGAATCAGATAGTCCTTATTGACCATATTTTGAGTGGTTATAAATATTAACAAGCTCCACTCTGATGTAGCTCTCTGTGCTCTCTCCACATACACATACACATATACATGCTCACTCACAAACACAGCATATTGTACCTTAAAATAAACATGCAAAATAATCATACAAACAAAAATTTTTAATGCCCTGTTAAATCTTTTTAACTTAAGTGGTGGAGAGGTTTATTTTAGCATGTGGTGAGTGAGTTATCTAACATAAACCACCAGACAGAGTAACCTAAAATAAAATATAGGCTAAAGTATAATTAAACTCAAGAAAAGAGAGGGACATAGATGTAATGGGTTTTATTTTGCTATAATGTAAATGTAAACACAGCCAGGATATGATATCAGTCTCTGCATAAATAGATAATTAAGTGTTTTATAAATTTAATAAAGTGTTTAATAAAGTGTTTTGCTATTCTTTCACTCCATAAAGAAAAATACAGTAAAAGCTGAGTGATAACACTCAATGCTTAAACGAGCATTAAACACAAGTCTCAGCAGTCTACATGTGTTTGTTTTCTTAAATAACAAACATGTCTGGCAAATTTCACAACAAACATAATGGGCCCTATCATACACTTGGCGCAATTTGGCGAAAGGCGCGGCGCAATAGTCTTTTGCTAGTTTCAGCTTGGCGCAAGAGTCGTTTTAAGGCGTTGCGCTACGCTGTTTAAATAGCAAATGCATTAGCGCTCATATGTGCACCCATAGGCGTTCTGGTCTAAAAAGAAAGGCATTCTGAGGCACACTGCTGGCGCGTTGCTAATTTGAGAAACTAAAATAGATTTTTCATTAGACCAAAACAAACCCGGTCTAAACTCCGGCGCAGAGTTGCGCCTCGCTTACACACTGCTTAATACACACAAGACAGCAATAGGCAAATATCTTTACAAATGAAAAAAAAATAATATTAAGGATATATATATATATAGGATATAATAAGAATAGATATAGGATTTAAGTATAAAGGATTAAAATATTAAAAAACATATTATTTTCTAGCCTA